TACCATCAAAGATAAGAACATACAAACAATATCAATATGAAGCTTCCATTATGTTGCAAAACTAGCCCAAAATACAAACATAATGTCTTAAGACCACAACCATAAGCACATGTCCACAAACAATACATATCTATGCCAATTTTGACAAAACAGAAAGGCCTTGGCATCAATTTGTTCACATCACATCCATGTCCACACAAACAAAAGCTGAAACAAACTGAATCCCCTGAAACAAACAAACTGAAACAAAAACCTCATGTTCACAATCACATGTCCACAACAAATATTTTCTGTCGGTTTTTTGCAACACTTTCTTGTTATAAGATGCTTATATGATGGATCACTTTTATATAAGATGCTTACAATCAATTATGTATTTGTTATATACATGTTAAATTTTATAAGCCGTTTTTTTTTTCCTCTATTACGTGTATTTAGTTTTTTTTATATTAGTTTTCTGAAAATAAATAAAATAAATAAATAACCGTAAAACGTTTAAATAACCTCTACGTACTTACGTACGTAATTGATTATGCGTTGTCCAAATGTGAAGTCGTGGAACAGTTGATATCTGCTGTTAAATATGCAATTAATGTCTTAACACATGTCACTATCTAACAAATTCTCCAAACGACACTCTTATAAACTTTAATAAACAATTTATTAATTGTGGTAGGAATAGAGTCATGAGCAGTGACGCTAACTTTAGTTAGGGTCAAAAAGGTAATTTCGCAACCTACCCAAATTCCCACTCTTGCAACAACTACAAGACAAAAATCAAAATATTATAGATAATCCACACCCCGCCTCGTGTGGGGCGGCTGTGGGCCTGTGGGCCTGTGGCCAATATTGAAAGTCCAAAATTATAAGCTAGTGTTTGGATGAGTCAATGCCATATTATTTAATATTTTATCAATATCCATTTGATTACAATGTAGTAATGATTAAGGTCTTCTTGATTGTGGACCATGTTATTAAAACAACGTTGCTCTCCCCAATTTTTTTTACAAAGAAAAGAGCTAAAAAGCTTAAGTTACTATTCGACGAGGGTACGACGCACCGATATTGTCATGATCAATTCAAACTCCTATCCCCTCAGGTGGAACTACCAATTGATATAAGCCAATCAAGTATGATGCCGCCAAGCTAGCCTTTAATCTATGGATGTGCCTCGTTGCCTTGGATATGGCCAATGAATATTCAAGATGAAATTGTTCATTTTTGGCAATATTTTAGAATGGTAACTAATTAACAATAATTCCATAATATATAGCAAACACTCACACTTTATTAAATCTTAAATGTACTTGAAACAATTTGTACAATATTATATTATTCATGGTAAAGAAAACAAAAACATTGGATTAAAATGTATTAATGTTAATAAAAGCAAGTTTATAAGCAGGCTAATCAATTAATCAGACTAATGGTTCGATTGAAAAATTATAATTTAAATGAATTGAAAACCCTATTTTTTAATTTT